TGCGTGTCATACTTGTGACAGTTTTCCTTGCTGAAGTGCTGTTTCAAAGCACCAGATATTGGTAACACCATAAAAATATTATTTCAGTACTTGTCTCAACTTACTTCTTCATTGAGACCAAGGTGAACTGTCACAGAGAGTCAGGCTAGGCTGGGAGAGTGACTTTTGCCTCTCTGGCCTCAGCCACGTGAAAACTTGCTATTCATGAAGAGCTGCCCAAAATTGCTTTGCCTAGACAGCAGGTGATCCTTGAAGGTCCCTTCCAATAATTAATATTGTCAGTTAAAACAAAAAAGCCAAAACAACCATAAAATGAATGCAGCTTTCAGAGACAGAGCTGGCTTCCCTGCCACCTCGGCAGTGTGGTAGGAAGAAGGTGGATGGAGGGATTTCTGTTAGTCTAAGTGTCTAGCCTTGCTGCATGTCACCTTGTCGGCCCAGTGTGAATGAGCCTATGTGGGCACCCAGGTCCCACATTGTCATCTCTTTCTGTCAGCAGGCAAGCCCATGGTATCTCAGAGGACACTGACACTCAGTATCCATTCCTAGTTCAACCTTCCTAGTCGCTGTCTGAACTGCTTGTGTGGGTGGATTTATCACTGGGGAAGACTGATGCTCTTTTTCTTTGTTACGTAAATTTTTCCATAATAACATTTCTCTGGGTAGCACCACAGCAGCTAATGAGTTTTTCAGCAACCTTCTACTGTGTTTTATTTGCAAACAAACAAACATAAGTAGGGCAGCAAGCCCCAGAAGCAGAAGGGAAGGGAGAAGGAGGAAGAACACTGCGATGAGTAAGCAGGGCATCTGTCTTGCAAAGCCACAGAGCTGGGACTCATCCATGCAGCCCATGGGCTCCTGATTATATACCATAACCCTCACTGCCCTTCACTTGGCTTTCCTGCCCTATGTGGTAGTGGCTATGCCATGGGTGTGTTTGCACAGGGAGCTGCCATAGCAGAAAGGTGATCAGAGCAGTAAGGATGACATTCCACAGATGTTTCTTCTCCCTGGCACAGCTCGGTGAGCAAGGACAAGCTTCAGAGGGGTCAGGAACTGCTCATCCATGTCTGGAGTCAGATGTTTCTTAGTGATCATGATTCGTAGGTCCCAGCAGTTCTGTGAAGTAAAGGAAATAGGTTGGAAAGTTGATTGTCTTCAGAGGTGTGTGAGCTGGCTGTGAAGAAAGACGTGTAAGAAAAATAAGAAGTCCTCAGTCCTGAAGTCAGGATTTTGAGGGGATAGTCACAGGTTAATTTAGTAGAATCAGGGGTTAATTTAGTAGATTTAGATTAGGTATTAGGAAGTTCTTCCCTCTGAAGATGATGAGGCACTGGCGCAGGTTGCCCAGGGAAGTTGTGGCTCCCCCATCCCTGGTAGTGTTCAAGGCCAGGTTGGACTGGGCTTGGAGCAACATGGTCTAGTGGAAGGTGTCCTTGCTCGTGGCAGGGGTCATGGAACTGGATGACCATTAAGGTCTGTTCCAACCCAAACCATTCTGTGATTCTATAATTCTAATTAATTTAAGTCTCTATAGCATTTCTGCTCTTGCTCTTCTATCTCATAAACCTTTGTAAAGACTTGTTTTAATGGCCTACTTTAGAAGTCATAAACAAATATCAAGACAAAGAATGACTTATTTTTAAAAAAACCCTCTACCTCATCCTACCTGAGCATAATGTAATATATCATAATCAAACTGACTTCTATCTCTTTACTTTGAGGTTTATTTTTGTCTCAATGTGGTTGGTTTTGCTCTTTTTGGTAAGCTGAGATGGAAACTTTCTTGTGGGCAAGTACAGTCCCCTGTAATTTTCTTAATTTCCAATAGAAAAATCACCAATTGGAGATATTTGAAGAAGAAACTTCTGCAAGGAAAACAGAAGCTCACAATGGAAAAAACCCTACAGTGATGTCCTTTTGTTGAGCAGAAATTATTTTAAATGTAAAATGGCTAATCCAGATACCCCATTTCCATCTTTGCCTTCCTTGGGGAATGGTGAGGTGGGGACAGGCAGTGCTGTGTGCGCTGGTTCTCATGTCCCTCCTGCTGCTGCTTTTCTAGCAGCTGTGCCAAGGCTGATTCCATTCCCGAGCTGAGGACAGACACTCTTCATTAAGCAATGAGCTTACAGAGTGCCCTTCTCCTTGAACCTGCCATGGCTCTGATTAGTGTCTGCTCATCTATGGAGAGGCTAAGTGCTTCGTAATTTCCTGCTGAGCCCTGAGCCCTCTTTCAACAAAACACTGTTTCGGACTACTTTCCAGCTCTCCCAGGTATTTCTTGCACTGGGGTTTTGCCATAATAAGCTCACAAAGAAGTTATATACTTTTTAAATATAACTCTGAAACTTTCCGGAAGTGCCTTCAATGTACATCATGAGCAGTACACATTTTTAACCACTTAATTTGAATTCAAACTGAAAATTCTACATTTTCAGTTCTTAGACATCTGTTCTTTCTGTAAATTTGATGTAGAAGTTTGTTCTGACATATTTTATTTCAATTCCAGTGTTCATTTTATAGGGATTCTTTTTTAATTATATGTTTAAAATAAACACTAACCAGGGCAAACCCCCTTAATGCTATTAAGAAGAATTGCCAGTGTCATTCTCATTATTTATGCCTGTTACTTTATTTTCAAAATATACTTAACATGATAGCTTTCTTTGGAGATAGCTGATTTTGGAAGCAAAACACAGAAGCAGAGGGGGAGAAATATTCTCCTTTTGTTTGCCACCTATCCCTTCACCCACCCAGTGAGATAAGCTGCCTGTCTTTCTGCTCAAAGGTATATGGCTCAAATGAGGTGGAAAACAGCCCCATCTGGTCAAGCAAAGCTTCACATGAATGAGCTCTCAGTGAGTACTGAGCTGGTATCACTCATCCCTCTAGCATCTCCCTTCAGCTAGACTGCAAAGGGTCAAGTCAAATTAGAGGGCAAATCTAGCATCAAGCTCAGCTCCAAATAGGCTTTGCTGCCGGCTTGCAGACCTGCCACCACAGCTCTGGGCTGCTGAGACCTGTGGCCATGGAATTCAGACACTCAGAGGTTATGTCTGGGTCTATTGATTGCCTTACACTTAATGTGCTTGGTTAGTAGATGCAGGTAGCTGATGTGTTAATTTTGCCACATCGTTTTAATACTTAATAGTCTGTGTGGGCTGTGCTAAATATAGACCAGAAGAGCTTCTCTGGAGCAGCCAGCCTGGTAGTAGGAGAATTCAGATCTGGTGCAGAGATCCTACATTGCCCATTCTGAGGGGAAAATAGCAAGAGCTCCATGTTTCAAGTGCGGTACACTTCTCCATCTTTCAGTGCCAGCCCTGCTGCTTGCTGGGCATGCAGAGCAGTGTTGGTAAGGTGAATGGCCAAGGAAGGGCAGCCAGGCATTCCCTTCTCTATACAGTGGGCAGGGGTAGCAAGCAGAGGGTGATTTCCTACTGGTTATTTAAGTAGCAAAGACTTGCTCTGCCTGATGCTGTTTTCTTCCTGTGATCTGGAACTGTGATATCTGAACAAACTGGGTGGGAAGGGAGCTGCCTGCTCAAAGGAAGTTGGATATACCCTGCAGGGTTGGTGCAATATTTGGTGGCTATTTATCTCTGTTTATGTGATGCTCACACGTCCTTGGCTGCATCTGAAAACCCATGGATATGTTTGCATTCAGGCATCATTTCACTCAGTGAGAGTAGGAACTTCCCTCTTCTCTTGCTTTTGAAAACCCCCACTCCTGACCATGCTGATTCATCAGCGATGAGGCAGGATTCCTATTTGAGTAGCTGCAATCAGTGCCATAATTCACCCCCAGATCTGCAAAGCCCATGAGCTTTCTGTGCTGCAGCGAGTTCACACCAGGCACTGTACGAACACAGATAGATGGCCTCAGCCTCAAACAGCTTTCAGGGGGCAAATAGGTTGTTTCCATCTCTCCCGACGTGAGGGTCAGCAAGAGGCCAAGGCATTGCTCACAAGACAGGGAAGTCAGAGATACACAGAGGGTGCCTAGCCAGCCCGGTTACTATCACAAAATGGCAACGTTCAGCATTCATTTCTAAGGGATCACAATTCCATAGGTTACTAAGAACTTTTACAGGAAGTTTTGGATTTATTGCAATAAATAACAAGCATGTACCCCCCTGATAAGTGCTACTGTCCTGGATTCAGCAGTAGCAGTCATTTTTTCCCCTTTTTAGTAGCTGGTGCAGTGCTGTGGTTTTGACTTCTGGCCTGGGAACAGTGCTGATAACACCAATGTTTTTAGTTACTGCTCAAATGTTTGGTCTGACCAAGGCCTTTGTGAGCCTCATGCTCTGCCAGGGAGGAGGGGAAGCTGGGAGGAAGCAGAGACAGGACACCTGACCCAAACCAGCCAAAGAGGTATTCCATACCACAGGACGTCATGCCCAGGATGTAACTGAGAGTTACCCGGAAGGGCTAAAGGACTGCTGGGTCTGGCTAGATATCAGTAGGCAGGTGGTATTGTATTCTCTTCCCTTGTTATTTCCCTTAACATTATTATTATTGGTGGTAGCAGCAGTGATTTGTGTTATACCTTAGTTACTGAACTGTTCTTATCTCAACCAGTGGGAGTTGCATTCTTTTGATTCTTCTCCCCATCCCTCTGGGAGCGGGGGGAAAGAAGAGGTGGTTCTGATTTACAACCTAGGCTTAAACCATGACAGTTCTTTTTGGTGCCCGATGTGGGGCACGAAGGGTTGAGGTAATGACAGATCTGGCCAGAGTGTGTCTGATCATATTTGTGATAAGCATTCATTGCTTTGGTTTAATAATCACTTTTTACAATGCTGATCTATTGGCTCCCAAAGTTTTTGTTCCTGATCTCACAGTTTCAGTATGTTGTACATTACTTAGACCCGGTATTTGCTGTGTTAGTGTTTATCAAGTGTGTGGCTTGAACTAATGTTCCTGTCTCACTGTACTTTATGGCAATGATTTGTAATACAGGCGGGCTCCAGCAGCAGGGCGGGACGGACGTGGCCGCGGACTGGTACCTGGCCGTCCAGCTGCTCCTCACAGTCCTGGCCCTCGCCCTCGCCTCCGTCTGCGTGAGGCCGCGGGGAGCCGAGGGGGAGCGGCCCCGGGAGCCGGTGGTTGCAGAAGCGGCCCGGGAGAGCGGCCCTGGGGACCAAATGGTAGCGGGAGCAGAGCCGGAGGCCGCAAGGGGACGGCTGCCGGTGGAGGAGGTCGGGGTGGTCGAGGAGCGAAAGGAGGAGGCTGCCGAGCAGCTGAAGAAGGCGGCGGAGGAGCCGAGCTCCATGGCCAAGCCCAGCCCTGCGGTGTCAGAGAACGTCCCCTGGCAGCTGCTAACAGAGCCCCGAGAGCCCGAGCCCGAGGAGGATACGGAAAGCAAGATTCCACCTTTGGGAGCTTCAGCTGGGTCCAGCCTCAGGCACCCAGGACAAGTGGAGGATGCAGGAGATCATGCAGCATTTTCCATCAAGGTGGAGGAGGAAGATCTGGACTCAGAAAAAGAGAAGCTGGTGGTGAGAGAGCTGGCAAGCACAGGAACTACACCAGCCTCAGTGACAGTACAGCAGCATCATTTGAGAGTTCTGAAGGTTTTGAATGGCCTTTGGGTACCCTTGGGACCTTCCTGCTGATTGCGATGGGGATCAGCATGTTAGCACACATACAGAATATGTTTTACCCACCACCATTTTGTCTGATCTCAAAAGTTAAGCAGAGTCAGGTTTGGGTCTTGTCTAGGGTTAGACGACACCATAGGAAGACCAAGAGGTTTTCCCCAAGGCTGGACAGTCATGAGTGGCAGGGCATGTGGGTCAGTATGGGCAAGTATCTACTGGGCCCTCCAGTGCTTTGGAGTCCTCGACTTGTCCTCGACAACAAGTTGTAGAAACTGGTGAAGGGGGGCGAATAATTTCGGGCCCTGGTGGGCCCATGGCACTTCAGGCCATCAGAGCAGAGATTCAACATAGAGATGGACTCATGATCAAGGGGTGGACTTAGCAATGGACACTATTGCCCAGGTTATTCATGAGTGTGAACACTGCACACAGCCTCTCCTGCTCTGAAATCCTGTTACAAGAGATAGAGCCCGACATCATGATGCAGATGGACTCAGCAGCTTTATAGGGTTTGGTCCATGCACTAAGGAATGATGTCTCTCCCTCCATCTGTGTGTGCATGTGGATGTATATATATATATATGTATATATGTAAGAGCAATGGTATATTGAAAATGTGGGATCTGAGCATGACATAAATGGTACAGAATAAGGGGTGGATAATGTCCTGGATTCAGTAGTAGCAATCATTTTTTTCTCTTTCTTAGTAGCTGGTACAGTGCTGTGATTTTTACTTTTGTCCTAGGAACAGAGCTGATAACACTGATGTTTAGTCTGAGCAAGGACTTTGTGAGTCTCATGCTCTGCTGGGGAGGAGGGGAAGCTGGGAAGCAGAGACAGGACACCTGACCCAAACTGACCAAAGAGGTATTCCATACCACAGCACGTCATGCCCAGGATGTAACTGAGAGTTACCCGGAAGGGCTAGTGCACTGCTGGGTTGGGCTAGGTATTGGTCGGCAGGTGGTACTGTATTCTCTTCCCTTGTTATTTCCCTTATCATTATTATTATTGGTGGTAGCAGCAGTGGTTTGTGTTATACCTTAGTTACTAAACTGTTCTTATCTCAACCGTCACATTCTTTTGATTCTCCTTCCCATCCCTCTGGGAGCAGAGGGAAGGAAGGTGCAGGGGGGATTAGACTGCATGGTTCTGGTTTACAGCCTGGGCTTAAACTATGACAGCTATACTCCTTGGTTTACCCAACCAGGTAGCTTGCTATGTAACGTGTGACAAAATGCAGCTACACACTCCACTGTACTCAAAGCCTTGGCCCCTAGGACTGTTCCAAGCAGCTCACTAGGCTGTCTTTTCCTTGCTGCCTGCCCAGTTTCTTCTGCCTGCCACCTCTGTTTGGGTTGTTGAACAGCTGCTGCAACTAGCACTGTTCAGCCAGAAATGCTTGCAGCAGCTTGTGTTTCAGTCAGCAGATTATCATCTGAAGCATCTAAGGCTACAAGAATAATTATGTGAAGAAAGATGGAATGTGTAAGAAATAGGTGGTTGCTTGTAAATAAAGCACAAGGGTACCTGGCCACCCTCTGCCAGTGCTCTGCTGCACCTTCCACCTGGTTTAGTAGGCAGACTTGGTTTTGTCGTGGTTTGAACCCAACCAGACAGCTTTCACTCACTCCCCCCCCCACTTCTTGCCCTCCCCCTACTCTCGGAGGGACGGAGAGGAGAATCAGAAAGAATGCAACTCCCACGGGTTGAGATAAGAACAGTTTAGTAACTAAGGTATAACACAAATCACTGCTGCTACCACCAATAATAGTAATGATAAAGGAAATAACAAGGGAAGAGAATACAACACCTCATCACCAGCCAACCGATAACTCGCCCCCCAGCCCGACCAAGCACCAACTGATACCTCCTCCAACCCTGCAGTCCACTCTAGCCCCTTCTGGGTCCCTCCCCAGTTACATCCTGGGCATGACGTGCTGTGGTATGGAATACCTCTTTGGTCAGTTTGGGTCAGGTGTCCTGTCTCTGCTTCCTCCCAGCTTCCCTCCTCCCTGGCAGAGCATGAGGCCCACAAAGTCCTTGGCCAAACCAAAACATCATTTTTATCAGCTCTGTTCCCAGCTGAAAGTTAAAACACAGCACTGCACCAGCTACCAAGGAGAAAAATGACTGCTACTGCTAAACCCAGGACAGTTTTGCATATGGATGTCCGCAGGGATTCATTTCAACCTGATTGTACTCACAGCCTTGCTGACACCACTTTTGCCAGTTGTGTCCCCAGGACCCCTCTCTGATGTCCCTCTGTCTGGTCTGAGCACTATTGCGCTTTGTCATCAGCATCACCATCATGACCAGCAGGTCAGGGGATGGGATTCTCCACCTCTATTCCACTCCCTTGAAACCCCACATGTACTGAGCACACATCAAAGCTGGGATAGGAAAAGCCCTGAGCTTTTCACTGAATGTGGATCATTTTCTCATTGAAATGATAACAGATACATATGTACAAGTGAAAAAAAAAAAATAATTTCTTCACCCCAGGGTTCCCAGCATTGCTGTCTTACATCGGTTCTGCTGCACTACAGCTCCTCACCAATCAACAGATTGTAAAGTTAAAACAAATCTCTTAGCAAATAATTAGCATTCTCAGAGCACTCGTATCTGTAAGGTGTGTCAATAGACTGATTAAGAAATAGTGTAGATAATGTATTATATGTGTGTGCGTGTATGTTGAGCACACAGAAAGGAAAACTCATGGGTTTTGGGGCCAGGGGAGCTGCTCAGCCCATATGTCTCTCTCAGCTGGAGACTCGCAGGGATCCAGCCTTTTCTCCAGGTCAGGGCTCTGGGTGGCCTGGCTGAATGGTCCCAGCCAGGAACCAAGCCTGGTGGTGCCTCATGCTTCTCTGTTCAATTTCAGTGGAAAAGATTTGCACTTATGATTCCCCCAGTCCTGACATCCTTGCCATAAGCATGTCACTGCTACATACCACTGAAAATACCTTTTATACAAGTCTAACTCTATGTATATTCATTATTTCAGTTTCTCAGCCTTCAGGTTTGCCTCTTGCAGTGCTCTCCAATCATTTACTGCTCTTCCAGAAATCAGAGCCTGAAAAGTCTAGAAGGTTGAAGAAATGTGTCCTTATTATGAGTGAGATTCGTGGAGAAGGCAGCAAAGAAGCAGAGGAAAGAGTTCTGTTCAACACTTGGGGTGGCTCATTTTCAGTATACTGTTAAGCTGCTATAGCATAGCCTTGTCAGAAAATATAGGAGGCTTTCAGATACCTGTTGATGGGTTGTTTTGAAAAAGTTCAAACACTGAAGACATAGATGCAGGCAGAGTAAAAATTCAGGGGGAAAAGGAGCTATATTTAATCACAAGGAGCTTTAGTTATCTCCGGTCCTTCACCATGGTCCCACTGAATCCCTCTCCCAATATCTTACTGTGATACCTTCCTAATATACTACTGTGAGGGTGATGAGGCCCTGGCACAGGTTGCCCAGAGAAGCTGTGGCTGCCCCATCCCTGGCAGTGTTCAAGGCCAGGCTGGATGGGGCTTTGAGCAACCTGGGCTAGTGGAAGTTGTCCTTGCCCATGGCAGGGGTGTTGAAACTGGATGACCATTAAGGTCTTTTCCAACCCAAACCATTCTGTGATTCTATAATCTCTGAGCATCTGAGGGATATCCTCAGAGAGGCTGGAGTCTGGGATGGCCTGGTACTGTAGTGAGGAGCCAGGTCTGATATGGGAAGTCCTGCACAGGCAGCATGCACTGGGCAACCTCCTAGAGTGGGCATAATTACTTGTGATTACCTATCTTACTCTTTAGCCTATATATTCTTATATATATATAATATCTTACTTTTTAGCCTATATATTGATTTGCTTTATTTTTTTGTTTGTTTGTTGTTTTGTTTTGGTTTTCTTTCAGAAAAATTCCTCTAAGGGCAAAACATTATGTGCACTGGTGAGGGTTGATGGAAGACATCAATGTGGTTGGTGTGGGCAGCGGCAGCACACAGAGCAGCTCTCAGGCACCATCCTGGCTAGCCCACACAGCTCTGCAGGCAGCCATGCTGGCAAGCATCCCAGGCTGTCACAGCACAGCTCTGGTGCTTCAGGAGGAGTAAAAGCAAAGCTCATAGAAAGAAAACTTGATTTTCTAATGGCTAGTTTTTTCTTAGAAGAGCTGGAGTGCCAGCAGTGCCATGTGCAAGGTGAGCTGTGATTAGAAAAGAAAGACAGCCTTTGAGCTGAAGGAGTTTGTTGCTGGCTGTAGTTCACTGATTTTATATAGCTCTTGGGCCTATAAAGCCAGTGTCTCATTTTTTTTTTTTTTTTCCACTTGTGGCCTATTTCCCTTTCAGGTTAAAGTTATCTCAAATGCTCTTTTTCTTGTCATGGGATTCCACTTCGGGCAAGACTTGTGTAGCCAGGCAAAGGATTAGTATATTTTAAGTCTCTAATGCTGTCTGCTCATGCTCATGTTTAAAGCAGCTGTAACTGCAGGAAGGAGGTGGCTTTCCTCTCTGTCAAAGTTGGGATCAAACAGTGCTCCATGCCTTTCGCCTCACATCCCAGCTAGCCAACTGCCTGTACCTGAATGCCAAGCACAGAGTGATCCATCAAAAATGACTAAAGGGGATCTAAAATGCTTTCAAAAAATACATTCAGAGTCTTATTTCACTGATGAGAAAGTCACAAGCCTGGCACAGACAGAAAAAGGGGCTGCCACGTGTGAAGCAGGGTGTTCGCTGAGCCTCATTCCCTGGCCAAGTGAACAGAGGTTTTGTTTTCCCCTACACTTCCACATTGCTCTTACTGTGCTAGCTCAGTTCCTCCTAAAGTAGGAATTCTCCTCCAGAAAATTGAAATGAGAAGAATAATGTTCTGAGTCACTGTTGATAGCTCTGTACCTGTCCTGGGTTTAGCAGTAGCAGTCATTTTTCTCTTTCTTGGTAGCTGGTGCAGTGCTGTGTTTTGACTTTCAGCTGGGAACAGAGCTGATAAAAATGATGTTTTGGTCTGGTCAAGGACCCTGTGGGCCTCATGCTCTGCCAGGGAGGAGGGGAAGCTGGGAGGAAGCAGAGACAGGACACCTGACCCTAACTGACCAAAGAAGTATTTCATACCACAGCATGTCATGCCCTGGATGTAACTGGGAGTTACATGGAAGGGCTAAGTGAACTGCAGGGTTGGAGGAGGTATCG